ACAGCAATGTTATTGCGAGATCCTTGCCAGTTTTTAGGCACCGTGGATGCCATCGCTTCACAATGCACGCCGGTGCGACGCAAAGTCGAACATCATCTCAACTTTGACTTGGGCTCAAGTCGTGGAGGTTTTCTCAGCCGTATAATGGTTGAATACGGGAGGCGACTAGCAGTCAGAAAGGGCAATGTCTGGACTACACCGGTGCAAGGATAGAGCCGTCCAGCTCTATAGCATGGCTTCGGCTCGAACTTTTTTGGACGGAGTGGGCCGCACCAGCACGTTGGAAACAGACTGTGCCGACGAATTTTTTCCCTCTGCTTGACGATTCGCTTCAGATGTCGTAGTTGCTTTGCGTACTTGACCTAGGAGGCAGCTTCTTCATCCAGTAGTTTCCCGGCCCACAGCTATCTCAAGCTGAGATCACAGGTACTCCCAAACCTCACTTCGTTATTCAAACCCATAAGCTCCTGCTCTGGAGCGTTACCGTCGTGGAAGATCGTCTGATAATTGGAGACATTGTCCTTATGCAGCTGCATTATTTCGGCGTCGACAGCTGTCATGCTGTCGCCAGGGTGGTAGAAAAAAGAGTGGAAGGAAGCGCTTGAAAGGGTCGTGCCGAAGGTAGCGGAGAACATCCTTGTCCATATTGCAGAATAAGGAGAAGCAGGAGTAGAGTCAGTGATACTAATATAATGACCAATCCTTGACGTATGCTAGGCAAATACTTGGGTTCAAAAAAGTGTGACAGAACTTTCCCGCCAACCTAATATTAAATCATCCCATTTAAAAGTGTGGAGACATGTAGAGGAATGGCAGGAAAGCAAAGGGGTTGTGACTGTAGGCTTCTATGATAGCAGCTACCTGTCCGAAAATCCTTTCTAAAGCACACTAGGGAGCGCATTCAACATTTCTTTCTGATTGCAGATTCCTGATTTTTCCCGTCTCACGCATATTGTGTTCCCTCCCCTCCCCGCAGGAGGGAAAAACTCAGCCGGGTTCATTGCGGCGCGATTTGAGGTCAGGGCGGAGCGAAGGGCGACGCCCTGCGCCCCCCCCCCCGCCACTGTGATCCGAACAGCAGCGGCTTTTATGTGGAAGGAAAAAGAGGAAAATAGAGAAAGAAAGATGACTGAACATATAATGGATGCTATAGGTGAGTTAGTTTAGTGGTAAGAGAATACATAAAAGTCTACTATCAGAGCGAATTGCTTCGGTAAATGGCGAAACAGGAGAAATAGTTCCCTTCGATTACTGTTATGCCGATAAAAGGTCACATCCAACTGTTGGCAATTTGCCAAATCTCACTTTAAACGTTTGCGCAAGAGCTGTTTGCGTCTTTTTAACAATCGAAGGAAATGTTTTTGCCTGTTTTGCCATTTGCTGAAGCAATTTGCCCTCATAGTCGACTTTTCTGTATCTCTCACCACTACACTGACTTATCTGTAAGCATCGACTACCTGTTCAGCCATCTTCCTCTCTCTCTATTTTCCTTTTTTCCTTCCACATATTTAAAAGCGGCTGCAGATTGAAGCACAGTGGCGGAGGCACGGGCATCGCCTTTTGGTTCGCCCTGCGGCCGCGGTGACGTCAAAAATTCGCGCCGCAACGTACATGGGTGACAGGGCACATCATTGTTAGGGATTCCCCAAAAGTGGGGTCGTATTTGGCCGCTGGGAGAGGGGGGGGGTCGTGACGAGTGCGGCAGCAAGTAACGAACAACGCAAAGGTGCCAGTGTGCTGAGTCCTGTGTAGCGAAACTTGCTTTGTAGAGAATCCGGATATGTAAAAAAAATAGTACAAAACTTTCTATGATTATCATCTCGAAAGTAGGTATATGGGTATATGGCTAAGCAGTACAGCTCATACCCTGGTCCGCTGCTGATGATGGGGCGTTCCCCGCGACCGCGCTTGGCGCTGAGCCAACCTGTCTTTTTTTCGCAGGACAAACGACAGGACTACCATATCGTTCGTATCCGTTCGTATCAGACGTTTCTCAGCTGTTGGTCTCCTTTATCAGAGTCAGCACTGGCGGAACACAAATCTGGTGGCGTCAGACACCGACAGCCCCATCATCCGCAACGGACAACACTGTAAACACGTGCGTAGGTTGGCCCTGAACTGCCTGAATCCTGTAAACACATCTGCTCGTGTAGAAAAGCATTGGTGGAATGCATCCCATTACCCCTGCGTGGAAGCCTAGGCATGGCGCATCCACAAATGAAGCTAGTGGGCGCTAAACCCCTACTGCTTGCTCTTATTTCACGAAGGGATGCATTCCCGATGCATTTCTGGATATCCGAGTACGCTCGCTTGAAACGGTACACAGAAAACGGATTTTTCGAGCAGCTCGGAGTGCTCTCTAATAAATCCCCAACGCAATTATCTCATGAATCCTGAAAACTTCACAAACATCTCAAGTGGTTTTTGAGAAGAGGAAATCTATCTAAGCATTGGCACTGTTTCAAATTTGTAAGTTGTTGAGTTTTAAAAAAATATCGTCGATCAAACCAGGACAGTTTGCATGCATCCTCAATAGATCTCCAACCTGAATTTCTCTCTGAATTTGGCGACCTTCATAAACCTTTCAATACTTTTCGGAAGCTCAAACCTTTCTCTGCACGACTGCGTTCTCCTCTTTCCCACAGGTCCGCTTCTAAGGAAGAGATGGCCCTTCAAAGACACCCTACTTTCCTGGAAAATTGCGCTCCTTTCCAATCACCTTGCAACCACCTTGCGGCGCTGGTCTTGCCCAGAATCCCTTCCAATCGATTCCTCGGCCGTTTTCCAGCTGATTGTGGCAGTTATTGCGCCATTTCTTTTCATTTTTTTCTATTATGCTACGTTTTTGTTTTTTTTCTCTTTAACTCACACTCTCATTCAACTCGCATTTGTGCGGTGTGTATGCTACTCTTCGTCTTTTTAATTACACACGTTTATACATAATTAAATAACTTTGGTAGGCCTGATGATATCTATACAATTTTATCCCACTTCCAAGGGTTGTTCGGGTTTTACCCTATTAGTTTCGAATTTTGAACGTCGAACCTCCTCCTTGTTATTATGAATGATTGACGAGAATATGTACAGTTATACTTGCAAAAATATCAGAGTGGTCTGTTCTCAGTGTGTACTATTCAAGTATTCTCGACGATGTTTCTTTTTATTACATTTTATTCTACTCAAGATGAGAGAATGCTGAATTTCTGATTCTTTTCTTATCACATTTGTCGAAGTCGTGGTGATGAGCTCGCGTAGATTCGTTAAAATCTCCATGGTTCACTAGTGCCCGTTTCTCAAGTTTAGGAAGCATGTAACGTCAAATAGTAAAAAAAAAGAGGTGGGGGTCGTTCTGAACCTCCCAAAAAGGGGGGGGGGTCGTACGGGCCCGACCAAAATCCCCAACCAATGATGTGCCCTGATGGGTGAGTTTTTTCACGGAGCCCCCTCCTCCCCGCCCCTGCTCGGACATCAGTAGAGCAACAAGTTTACTATCCACTAATCCTGCAATACTCAATCATCGGAAATATAGCGCCAGGAAATGAAAGGAGGTACCCTCTTATCTATTCTTATCAAAATATTACGTGATCGGCTTTTGATTAATCTCGACATTGGAGACGTAATTATCTAGTGTGTTTCCTAAGTCTCCGAGATTGATACAGATGTTTATTGTGCAGAGTTGTCGGAAACATCGCCTTCTTTGAAGCCTGCAGGTCAAAACTTATCATCGAAACAGCTCGCCCAATCACCATTTCACACTGTAGTAGGGAATCAAAAACCTCCAACCTTTTGACGCATAGAAACTATACCGGGCGATTTTTGGCTCAAGACCGATGCTTTTATATGTTCGAAACTCCGAGGCAACGGGTCAGAGGACTTGAGGAGACGGGTCATAGGCTGTAATCAGTAGACAAAGAAGGCGATGTTTGCAGAAACGGTGGCATAATAAAGCATCTGTATCAATCTCGCGAGGCTGGGGAGCATACTGAACTATTTTTTTCAATTGATACAATCACTTGTTTCCCGCCACTAATACCATACATTTATGATTTAGGGGTAAAGTAAAGAATCACAACCTTGAAGAATTGAAGGCGGATACCCGAACATCAGCTCCTATCAATTGCTATCCCTCTCTGTCACTTATCAGTAATATCCCTCACATCCCCTATATCATCTGTTAGGACCAACTTCTTACTGCTACAGTGACAGACGCTACGAATCAGGCAACGCTTGAGTCCTAATTCTCCTCATCAAATAATAACTGCTCTTGGCACCTCCTGCCACCCATCAGTGGTGTTCCTGTCCCATACCCTACATCACATCGTGGAACAAAGTCGCACCGTTGCTGGGAATGGCGTTATGTGTAAGGTGACTCTCCTCTTCTGGTGTTCCTTGTCAAATTACCAAATGTCATCATATCGTGTCAAGCATGAATTATGTTCCCTTCGGGCACTCTGCATAAATTCCAGAAACCACGTTCCCTCTATTCCTGTGGGCGCACTATGAGGTAAGAAAAACACACCCATGTCCATTTTTATAGTGCACTTCTGTGCAAGTGCTTGCAGGCAATGTAATGGCTAGATTTCGGAGCTGAGCTACGTTGATATCACCACAATCAGTCGGCGATCCCCACCTGCGACGCTTCCACCATTGGTTGTTTTTTTTGAGTCGATCGCTATCCGATCACCACTGGTAGAGCAAATCGGCCGGGGCGGATTCACCCAACCTTCCTCTCACCCTTCCCGACTGATTGCGATTTTAAAAACTACATCCATTTAAGGTTACGAAAGTGGAGCGAATTAGAAAGTTTTAAAGGGAGCACCAAATGTCAAACCCATTGAGCGTTGTAAACACTGTGATTGAATAGTCGTGGAACAGAAAAGGTGATTTTCCCCCATAGCCTTGCGTTTATCCAGTTCATTTATTTATCAAACAATTCATCGATAAATACAAGTTTTCGCCAACGTCAGATGTCATTTGACTCTATGGAGCCCACCCATAAATTAACATAGCGGCATTGATTTAAACAAACCATCTTTGTTCATCCCTTTACTGAGACATTTTTTCAGCCGGCATGCTTGGCATTGATTTCTGTGAGCTTTGTCCACGACACAACTTCCTGTTCCAGCATGACACCTGAATTTGGCGCTGAAAATGCTGTGTCCTGCAAGGAATAGAGACATCTTCAGCAAGAGCCTGTCAATGCACTTTTTCATAGATGTAACAGTAATATTCATTCCATAAAAGCTAGTCCGCTTCTCTAACTGATCAAGTACCATTTAGCTTTTTACCTGTAAATGAGTCGTCGCCTTACAGATCGTTTGAAAAATCCCGAACAACCATTGCATGCTAAGATCCCTGCAAATTTCAATAAGTTAAATCTTATCAAAAGCGAAGAGGAGCACAGCTCGAAACTTCAGTACTGCAGTGAAAGCTCCCAAGTATACTTTTTTGCAAACCATTAAAGTATCACACTAATTGTTTCTTCACCTAAATTTCCTCTCTCTCGGGGGTTAGCTCAAGGAGGTTTTTGGCCTTTTTGATGGAAATTTCAGCTGTATTCAACTCACAACGCGCATGACATGACAGAAATTGAGTCAGTACCCTCCCCTGGAAAGTATTACGATTGAGCCGCTCACTTCCATTTCAGGTGCACTAGATGGTAAATATATGTAGCTGAATGATTTTGTATATGACCGTACATTCAAAACAGAGGATGCAGAATTAGACCCTGGAATTCTCTAAAAACCATACCGTAATGTTTCCCACTGCTGGCGTCCCCACAGACTGCGCAACTCATTGTTGGAGATGAACCGGTTGAAAGCGACTCACAAGAGAGCGTTGGAAAGGAAGAAACAGATATTGTAGTTGCGTCGAACGGTGGAGTGCTGAAGATTACTTAACCTAGTCTCAAACTGTTTAGTATCTGAAAAGAGTTGAGGAGAGTTTCCGCCGTACCAGCTTATTCCTTAGCAGACGACAGTATGGTGGAAACGAAGCAATCTCTTCTCTTTGTTTGAATGGCAATGAGTTTAACTAGAAAATCTGGAGGAGGAAAAATAATACGTTTAAACAAGCGTACCTTGTTTGTGCCATACGGTGGTTCATTGACAGTGCAACAGCAGCGGCGATATGAGGCGCAATCGTAGTGCCTAGAGTTCAGGGACTAGTAGCAGAAGAAAAAACGTTCCCCGCCAAATGAGTTGGAAAAGAAAACGCCTTCACCTGAGCTCATGAGTGCACTGGGAAACAGAACGGGTCCATAAAATATTGACCGGAGACCTAATACATGGTCCTCCATGTAGAGTCCTCGTCTCGCATCGTCTGAACCGCAATTGTAAGCACGCACTTTTGCTACCAGTAACGATCTGGTCAGATAATCTGCTCTCTAGGTAACACTCGACAGTATGAAGAACCCATCTATCTTCTCTATCTTCTTGTGATGACAGTTACCTTCGCTCATAATGGAAACTCGCTCATATATAAATCACTTACTTCGAATAAGAGATGAGAGTGTGTTCTCAAACCACACACTCAAGATGATGAAGAAGCGTGGAGCGTGTAGGTGAGGAAAGGATTTGCTCTCATCTGGTTGGAGGTTGCAGTGGAGCCATTTTTGCGCGAATCAAGGCGAGAGTTACAGTATAAAAGGTGGTCCTCATTACCAGTGAGGGTTCTTCTGAGTTATGAATTTTTTCTCGGTATTATGCTGTCGCGGAGCCTTATTGGAATCGTAGCGTCAAAACATGTCCGTGCAAGAGTCCAAAAGGTTCTGCAAAAATTATTTTTCTTCCAATATTTCGGCGCTTAGCACCAGGTGAAGCACCACGTGGCGGAAAATTGGAACGGGAGCGGGGTTGGTGCGGCGCCCACCCTCCCTCCTCCCCCCCCCCTCTCAAAAAGAAGGTATCCATACGACCCTTCCCTCTCCCCTCTTAGTGACTGTGGAGTGTTTGGAGGCGACTGCTTTGTTTATCAGCTAAATATGTTGTATGTTATGCGAGTTTAACTTAGTCGGTTGAATTAACATACAACAAGTAAATAAACAAGTCGGTTGAATTCGCATAACATACAACAAGTAAATAAACATAAGCACCTGCGAGATTTGTTAGGTTTAGTATCACACGACTGTTTGTCAGTGACAAAGGCGGATGGTTTGTGCTGATCCCTCGTCAACTCGACCACGATATCAAAGAATAACATTCGGGAGGTCCCTCCCTCTATCGACTATCCTCTGCAAAAGGATTCAAGACGCCGCTAGCAGACTGAACTGGTAGTGTATTAGTGTAGCTAGGTCGGCAGGACTTGACTGCTCCTTGACATCTCAGAAATCAGTCACTGTGTTGTCCTGTCCGGTACCTGTTCCTAAGAACACACACGTTATCGGCAGCAGAAGAGCTGGCACCAAGTGGTCTCAACTTGGTATAAGTTCGTCCCATCATCAGCGGAGTGGGTGATCCCACTCACAGGATGACGTGGTTTTCAAAGCCATGCAGTGCAGCTGCTAAGCATATACCATCCCACATAACCGACACTCGAATCTTCATGGAACAGTTCGCATGCGTTGCGCCTCAACAGTGCCTGTGTTATGGGATCATCTGGTGTAGAGAACTGTTGTACAAACGTAAGTAACGGTTCTGCGATGGAAGCCGTACTCGAGCATCTAACTAACAAGAAAGGTCGTTCAGGACATGGTGAGCTTTTTGGAAACGGTTTGTTGGATGATATAAGGGTACAAGCAAGGAAAGTATCACACAGTTAAGGTTCGTTTTTGCTGAAACTAATGGGAATTCCAAGAACAGACTAAAAACAAATTGCTCAGGACGGGCGGTTTTCACCATCGTATTCGATTCTGTTCAGCTGTAGCGCTGATTATGTACAGTTCAGAGGTGTTCTTTCACTAGGCATGGAAAGCAACGCAAAATAAGGTCAAAAATCAAGTTTCTAATATGCCATGTGTTGAAAAGGTCCTGTTTTCAGAACATCGCAACCGCATCTTACCCCTCGCAGTGGTTGGATGGCGGGCAAACCGGAGGGTAGTCTGTGGATCGGATTCGCTTGGAAAAAACTTTTGCTTTTCTTCAGATTCTCGCTCTCTTCTGTCCCTGCGTGTCTGGTAACGTGTAATGCTCAGATGCGTGCAGTTAAGGGCTCATTCTACACTAATGATTCAGGAAGGGGCCCTACTTAACCATTACCATTTCAAAATGCAATCAAAGAGTTTCTCCCAGAAACCTGGCAGTTATCCGATACCCTGACCACAATTACGACATACCTTTCTGAATTTGGCGTAATTTACAGCCAATTTGGTGCAAGAACTTTCCCCCCTATTAGAATCCCTCTCAGCCTGCTCGCAGGGCCTATTTGGCGAAAAGCTGTTCCCAAATGGCATCAGCGCCAAAATAAGCGTCAGAATCGTGATCGAGCTATCAGCTGCCCTTGTATACAAAGTTTCAGCCAAAAATTTCTTTCTAGCTTTTGGGTGATCATTGCTTACCAAGTGCATCAGTTGTTATCAGACTACTCAAGAAGTCGCTATCCAACCTCGTTACTTGATGCTTTCCGTTTAATAGTTCACTGATGCATAATTAACAACTACAAAACTCGAAAAATGTAGGGCATATATATACGGTATACCTTTTACACCTGTGGAGTCAGAGCAAACCGAGTTCCCGTTGTCTTGGCAGGAGGAAGCAAGATTTTGATAGGTTTTTGGTGAGCCTAGGCCGTGGAATTTGTGAAAGATACATTGTGCTCGTTTAGGTGCTCTCAAAAGCTTTCTAGAAGACAGACTGATTTGTGACTGCAACATTTATGACAACTGGTGTTGCGGCTACGGAGAGTGAGAGTTCGGACAGGGCGACCTCATCAGAGGGGTCGTATTTGGTCTGAGACAGTATTTTTT